ACTGTTTCACGTTACCTTGGACTACATTTCCCATCTGCCATTTCACTAATCACAAACTCACCTGAAACCAATCGCACACACTGTATTACTCTGACTCACTTCCTCTTCCCTGCCGAGTGTTGTTAGCTTTGTGCTGTCTAGCGTAGCTACTCTACGGAGCCTCTTCCCTTGCCCAGTTCTAATCCTAGTCTTGATTTTGTTTTGCCTTGCCTGATTACCCCTTTTTGCCTAGCTCTCTGGATATTGTTCGCTGATCGCAGACCCACTCTTGCCTTTGGATTACTCTTCGTCTTGCCTATTCTATTACTGTTTGTTGTGTATCGACCCATGCCTGTTTCTGACCATGTTAATGAATAAAGCTCTGCAGATGGATCCGCACGCTTCCTCTGTTTATTCCGTAACAGCTAGTTAGATACGCAGGATCTAAACCATTAAGGACCTTATAGGTAAGTAATAATATTTTGTAACTGATACGGAACTGAATAGGTAGCCAGTGCAGAGACTGTAAAATTGGGGTAATATGATCATATTTTCTTGACCTGGTAAGGACTCTAGCCGCTGCATTTTGGACCACCTGTAGCTTGTTTATTGAAGATGCAGGACAACCACCTAGCAGTGCATTACAATAGTCCAGTCTAGAGGTCATGAATGCATGAACTAGCTTTTCTGCATCAGAAACGGGTAACATGTTTCATAGCTTGGCAATGTTTCTAAGATGGAAGAATGCTGTTTTTGTAACATGGGAAATATGATTTTCAAAAGACAAGTTGCTATCTAATATTACATCCCCCCTAACATCTGCCTATGCACAAACAACCATTTGAAACCTAGCAACTCCCTAGCAACCATTCAGAACATGTTAGAACATGTAATGATGAGTTTTGCATCGGCAAGCACCACTCATATTCCCTTCAGAAAATGAAATCTAGTTGTAGTTTGTTTTTCTAGTGTGTGCAATGGCTCAAAGTGACTGTAATGGAAGCATGCAGACACTACACTTTCCACATTGTAAGTCCAATGCATTGCTTCACAGGCTGTGAGCTTGAAAATAAAAGCTGTTGACAAAATGAAGCCTTAAAAATATGAATAAAAAAATAAGAGAACATAAACATTTATGGTGTAGCATTAATTTACTTGTGCTCAAGGGTAAACAAAAGTTGTGGCACTTCAACAGTTTCTGTGCGAGTCAGGGTTGATTGATGATCCATAAATATGCTAAAATATAAAACTGTGTTGCCTAACTTTTTTAAGCAAAGCGTTTGACAAAAAGAACCTTGAAATGCTAAAACAATAGATGCAGTGTTGAAAATGAAGACGGACAGTATTTTGTCTAAGACTTAAAAAACGGTGGAGTTAGTGAAATGAAAAGATCCTGAAGCATTTGAGAACAGATAAGACTTTCTTTGACATTTTGTTTTTAATGTAATGACATTCAGTGTGACTGAAGCGAACAAATAGTTATTGCAGTTACGGCTCATGTCTGGAGATTCATAGAGTTTCTCTCGCGCCCTCTTGTGGCCAATTAAAGGTAATTTTATTTATTTTAAAATTTGGCCTTTTTATTTCTTCAGCACAGTGTCATTCTCAGCTTGGCAAACTTCAGAATACAAATTCCGTAATGCAATCACATTGCACAGGGATGCATAAATATGATCAAATATATTTTAGCACATGCACATGCACCCGAAACCTCAATACAAAACTTTAAAACATTAGAAATGTATTGAATATTGATACATCAATCAAATTTCAGCACTTTGGATAGCTTTGCTATGTTTGAATGTGCTATATAAATAACATTTACTTACTTACTATACATTGAACATGTCTAATCTATATTTATGTCATGTTCTGGTCATAATTTCATATGTTCAGCAAGGTGCTTACCTTTTATTTAAATAAGAGATATAATAAACATTTCCATTTTAGTACTACTTGATATAAAATATGTTTGATGATTTTACCCATCTGCTGTGAACATAGTATCAAAGATATGAATGACTGATATATTTAAGCAGAATGGCACATAAAAATGAGAAAGATCATGCATTGAAATTTCACATTTGTGAAATGGCCATATGCAAATTGTTCTGCATCTTTCAGTACAATGCATTTTTTCATATTTTCAAACAATACAAAATATGCTCCAAAATAAAGGTTATTCAAGTCATAAACAGAGGAGCTGAGCAGCAGCAAAGACAAACACACACACACACACACACTTACTATTTATGACAAATCACTACTATTATATAAACTCTTCATCTCACTATAATGAAAAACAACAAATTGAAAAGATGAAATACTAAGGCACTCGTATATTAAAAATAAAAAAGCCTTTAATTAACTGGGCTAAGTCATTAAAATAATTAAAAGTGTGGATCTACGCATTTCAGCTTCTTCAGGATACACATCAATTGTTCAAACAAATCTTCTTCAACAATTAGTAAGCAATCATCAAAGACAGCTGGTTGATCAATGGGAGTAAGACTCTCCTCTTTGTACCAAACATAACAATATTAAATTTAATTGAGAAAAAAAACCTGAACTATATATATATCCACTTGCAGAATGTGTGGCTTGTACGGCCCCTCATATATATATATATATATATAGAGTTAATTAGCAAAAACCGATAACTCCATTTTTATTTATTTTTTTCAGAAATCTTTTTTTTTTATTGCGCATTCCAAGTAATATCAATCAAACTGCAGTTGGGAATCTCAATCCTATAGAGAACCTGTGGTCAGTCCTCAAAAGGTGAGTGGACAAGCAGAAGCCCACAAATTGTGATCAACACAAGAACTAATAAGGCAAGAATGGATCGCCATCAGTCAGGATTTGGCCCGGAAGCTAATATCCAGCATGCCAGAGCGAATTGCAGAGGTTATGAAGAACAAGGGTCAACACTGTAAATATTAACTCATTATATATTTTTTTTGCCAATAAAAACCTTTAAAACTTAAGATGTGCTTATCATTGTTTTTCAGTATATATCATAGAAACATGTGGAAAAATAATCTACAAATGATGAAGCAGCAAACTTTGCAAAACATACAATTTATGTCACTGCCAAAACTGTTGGCCATGACTGTACACAAAAAAATATTATTAAAAAAATATATATATAAGAAATAATAATAAAAAATATAAAAGCTGATAGCTTTCATCCACCTTGGCTGATTGAGAATATTTCACATGGCCAGTTCCAAAGATTGAAATGTATTTGTGACTTAGAAGATGATTTTGAAATTGAATTACAGGATATGACTAGTAGATTTTGACAGAGGTTATGATTCGAAAGTTTTAACAAGAGCCACAAAGAGAGTTAAGTCTAAGAAACAATTATTGAACAAGAAGACAACATTCTAATACCAATTCTAATGGGTTTTTTTTTCTGGACAACTTCTAGCCATGAGGCCACACAAAATAAACATACTATAAATTCCAATTGGGACATCATCGAAAGTGATAGTACTCTATGAACAACTATACAACATAAGGTGGTACATAATTATCTTCCGGCCCTTGAGAAGAAAACACGGCTTGGTTCTTCAACAGGCAGTTTTAGGTGTGGAGGTTGTAAACATTGTGACAACATGATGAGAATAAAAAATGATGTGATTTCTGGGAAAGTTTATCCTATTGAGTCCTTCATTAATTTTAATTCCTCGTATGTAATATATAGGTTAGAATGTAAGTGTGTGGACATTTCTACATTGGTTAAACCAAAAGGAAATTGTGTTTAAGAGTGTCTGAGCATAAATATGCGATTTGTACGAAAAACATGTTATATCCTATGGCGAGGCATTATAATGAAGTAGGTCACGCTAGTGAGAGCCCTCTTAAAGTGATCGGGATTGAATCATGTTCAATAAGAGGGGGAAATAGACTAAAACGACTTTTGTAACAAGAGACTTTTTGGATCTATACGGGGACAAAGCCTCCTGGAGTTAATGAAGAAATTAATTTTTTTTTTTTTACCTTTCTTGTAATGATTTACATTTTTGTTGGTTGTGTTGGTATATTATATATATATATATATATATATATATACACATACACACACACCCCCCAACACCAACACATCCAACAAAAAATGTAAATCATTACAAATGATTACAAATGAAAATGTAAATCATTAGAAAAAAAACTGAATTAAACATCTCTCTCTCTCTCTCTCTATATATATTTAATTCATTTTTTTCCTCAATTAAATTTAATATTGTTATGTTTGGTACAAAGAGGAGAGTCTCAGCTACTCCAACATTGATCAACCAGCTGTCTTTGATGATTGTTTACTAATTGTTTAAGATTTGCTTGAACAGTTGATGTGTATCCTGAAGAAGGCTGTGTAGCCGGAACACGTAGATCCACTTTTAATAATTTTAATGACTAAGCCCAGTTAATTAAAGGCTTTTAATCTTTACTATACGAGTGCCTTTGAGTATTTCATCTTTTCAATTTGGTATTTACCTCCAATTATCCAAAGAGCACCGGTGGCTATGGAAGAGACCAGTGCAGCGTTCTCGGCTTCTGTTGTTTTACAACAAATTGTATACTTTAGCATAATTCAACGTTAAGAACTCATGAAGGCCAACCCAAATTATCTTGTTCTAATTTACCATATTTTTTTAACTACAATACATTTTTGAATAATGACTGATAATTTCCCGCGTTTACGGTCGCACTTATTTTGCAATGACGTTATTGCATTCGTCTAGACTCCGCCCACTTCGACTTTACTCGCGTTCTACAGCCAACGGGATGATCAGCAGCTGAATTATATGTGCGTCATGGTGATTGACAGCCCAACGCACCAATCATTTGATCTCATTCAGAAGCGCTAGCCACTCAGTGGTGCCGAGACAGCGCGTTACGAGCCAATCACGGTTCTCCGTTCATTCCGCCCGGTGTCAGAGGTCGCTTCTCCTGCCGGCTTTCATTCGCTCGTCTCTCTTCCTGAATCCAGCAGCGATGGCGGAGCAGCAGCAGTTCTACCTCTTACTGAGCAACCTGATGAACCCTGACAACACCGTCAGGAAGCAATCCGAGGTATGAAAGTCGGGTCGGGACCGCTTTGTGTGGATGTGTGACGGGAAATCTAACATACTGGTGCTTGATTCGCAGTTTTAGCGCGGGCCGCTCAGCCTCGCTCTGGCCCAGCACATGTGTGAAGCGCGCGCTGCTGTTAGGCGGCTTCGAATCATTTTAGAGAGTCGATTCATGAACAATTCCTCTATTCTTTTGAATCAGCATGCAAAGTTGTTCGCCGTGTGGCACTTTACTTTAAATTTTATGATATTGATTCACTTTTGATGAATTGTTTTACTTAGATAAAATTACTTTTTTTGATCCCGATACAGTTGGTTCGACTTAAGATTCATTTGAGATTGACTAGGAAGTTAACTTACAAATATTAATCAAATTGTTATTGTTTTAGCAATATTAACGTTGTTTAGTAGTCTGTTAAAAGTTGGAAGACTATTCTCACTTCAGTTCACTCCCTGTACACTAAAGTGATTTACAAGGACTGAATTCGGAAAAGCATACAATCATACTAATCTTACTGTCTGTCATATGCAGACTTTGCAGACGTAACGTTAATACGAAAACTATTGTATTTCGAAGTCAACCAAACCCTCAGTTCGACCGAATCATTTTAAGGAATCGACTCAAACGAATGAATCATTTGTGAATCGGAGAATGCTGTCGTGTGTTGCGTATCAACGTGGCCTAACTAACATTAAAAACATGGTGTTTTATACGTTTTTGTGTTTCATCTCGAATTTAAAAACGCCTTATTTATTCGTTTTCTTTCTAACTTAATCTTTTAACGTATGCTCTACTGTTTTTTGCGTCATTATTCGAGCCGCGGTTGCTGTGACGCTGCTAACCGGGCGCTGGTGTTGCTCAGATCGGCTTGAGCTGCTCAAGTGGGTCGTTAAATCGATATTTCAGTTCTGCGAGGTTTTCAGATGTAAACGCGTCACATTTGCGTCTTATTTTTCGAGAGCTTCCAGTCAAAGTGACGAACGCTGACCGCACAAACAAAATCACAATCTATTTGTAACTTACTTTATATGCGTTTTACTTGATTATAACTCCCCTCGACAAGCAACGCGATAATCAAACTACATTTCTTAGAAGAATAATTAATATTTAAACTCTTTATCGTCGCTATTGTGAAGAGTCTTGTATTTCACTCATTAAACAGTAACTTTACACCCGTCTTCACGCGATGACATGAGCTTATCACAAAAGATGCTCATTCATACTGTCATGTCATGGAAACACTTTGGATTTGGGTCAGGGATATGCATTCAAAAGAATAGACCTTTTAAGTTTCTCTATGCCAGGGTTCCTCAAATCTTGTCCTGGAGGGCCAATGCGCTGCAGAGTTTAGCTCCAACCCTGATCAAACTCACCTACCTGGGATTTTCTAATGATCCTGAAGACATTGATTAGCATGCTCAGGTGTGTTTGATTAGGGTTAGAGCTAAACTCTGCAGAAAAGTGGATCTTGTGGGCCAGATTTGAGGATCCCTGCCAAGGCTCGAAATTGCGACCATTTTGGTTGCATGTGCTCCCGAAATGTAATCTGTGCGACCTCAAAATATATTTGGGAGCATTTGTGCGAGTGCATATAATTGTTGTCGTGCGACCCGTTTTAATTTCTCCTGCTCTACGCACTTATAAACCCATTTTCGCATGGATGACTGGGATCCCATTGGCACGTGTTCAGACTAGTCTTTTGTTAGGGGCTTCTTTATCTGTGGGTAGTTCAAACCTGAGCTCATGTGGATCAGGACGGGTCATTGGGTCTTATCGCTCATCTCTGCCATCGGTCAGCACTTTCCTTTAGCAAAGACAATGCATGACCAGCCTGCCGCTAATGCTCAGCGGAAACTGACTCAGACTCTCACGCATGACAAGGGCCAAATGGCCCCCAGAAATCAGCTGTGATGTCACTCTTATGTCTGACAATCTTATGAAATGATTGCATTTAAGATTCCAAAAGCTTTGATGTTAACACCGGAATAAAGGTGTGCGTGACTTCCTTGTTTTGATTACTCATTCCCATTGCACCATCAGTGTTTCCCATACAATGATTTATTTGTGGCGCCTGCCACAATATCAAAACTGACCGCTAAAAATAGATTTTCCAAAAGGCTTTGGCTTCTTTGAATAAACATGAGCACTGCACGTTTCAAAATCGAAACCCGGTGCGGGTGTTTTTATGTCACTGTATTTCTGAAGGAAACCGACTGTCATCAGAAAATTTTGGATGTCATTTTCATTTAATCTTGCATGTAATGTCTGATAAAGCAGAGTTTGTGAGTGGAGTGCTGCTTTGTGTACAGCTGTTACCGGGGAAACCTTGATCTCTACCACTCCAACAGCGCCTCCTGCTGGCAGAGAATGAGTTTGCATATATATGCCTCCACAAATAGTGTAAGGCCCAATTCTAATTTATACCCCTTGCCCTCCGCCTACCCCTTCCCCTTGTCCCTTAAAACAGAGTTTCAAGGGGTAGGGGTGAAAATATTCCCCTAAGAATTGGGACACCACTACTATACCATCATATGTCGTCTAGCTCCTACAATAAACACACCTATACTGGTGTGCATTAGAGTCTTACCTTTCTATATTAATGTGATGCTTACTGAGACACACCCATATCGGATCTCTCTCTCTCTCTCTCTCTCTCTCTTTCTCTCTCTCTCTCTCAAAATTTAAGAGTGCTTTATTGGCATGTCAAAAATTATACATTTGTATTGCCAAAGCAATTGCAGCTGGACTGCTGACAAATAGTGCACATATGTATTAACAGAAAAAAAAAGAATAATAATATATAAAAAGTATTAAGCATGTAGTGCAAAATGAGTTACTAATGTATGCAAGTATATAAACTAGAAATAAAAATAAAATAAGGGATTAGACAGATTTACAGAAGCAAAATATACATCTAAGTAATAATACAGTGTAATTTGGTATAATATCTCTCTCGCTCGCTCACACACACACACACACACACACACACACACACACACGATGCGCAAAACTCTGCATTTGAACAGTCAATAGCAAAGCTTGCTTTCTTTGCTCATCTCTTGGTATTGCAGGGCTTTATGTCCACGTACGCGTCCAGATTGTACGCGGGGAAAGTATAACACAGGCTTAAGGGGTAGAAATGGGATTGGGCCTAAGTCTAAGTTTTTGTTTTTTAACAGAAGGCCTCATACAGGTTTGGAAATGATGAGAAAATTATAACAATTAATTTTTTTTAGGTGAACTATCCCTTTAAGAAAACATTGATGTATTTTATTCCTTGCAGTTTATTCCATACATTTATTTACTTGGTCTTAACCCTTTAGGCGCCAGGGTTTTTTGG